AATGTTTCTTTATATTAGATTTGCAATGATAGCCATGAGTGATATATATATATATGGGTACCATTCCCAACAAACTTGTGCAGCTAGAAGTCTGCGTGCAAATAAAGTTACACCAATTAAATGTACTGGTGCCCTAATACAACAAACTGTGAAACTTTCCATTGTAGACAACCACTACTAAATATCTATTATCAGCAGCAAAGTAGCTACATAGTAATGTCTACAATGGAAATCTCTAACCAATTGCCAATGTTCTTCCCCATTTCAACAGTACTTATGTGCATGCTCAGTTGCTTATGACTGGCACACTGGAAATTGAGCTGAAGGAAGTGAAAGATTAGCATAATCAATCAAAACCAAGGCATCAAAATGACAGCATCAAATATTAATTATTAAATACCCGAGTATCAGTGTATGTATTTACTGAGTGCTTCTGTGTGCCTGTGCTGTAGGCTGAAAAACAGAAAGAAGCCATGACACCTTTCTTCATGGAAGTTTCAGTTCACTTAGAAGAATCACAACATATGACCAAATAAGACAGAAGACAGAAGTGTGGCAAGGTCCATCTTCCTGACATTTTAGAGTGTTAATGCTGGTAAAATTTGGGGTTGCCCGTGTCCAGTCTCTAGCTTCCTGGGTGTTGAGAAGCAACTGCTGCTGGTGAGGCAGAGTGTCTCTGGGCCACATGGAGGACGGTGGGAACCAGACAAGGAAGAACCCTATGGGCATGGGTCTGGATTGTAGACTACACAGGTATCCACATATAGTAGCTCTCTGTGTCTAACATGATGGTACCAGCACAGCTGGTGGGATCCCAGAACTGCAGAACACAATATGCAAATTTGGGAAATTTCAACCGCAAATTCCCCAATGAGTGGACATTTAGCAGACATTTACTCCGAGCAAAACATCTATGGATTCTGCATGCAACATTACTTCAATGCAAGAACAGTTACAGAAATCTGCACTCCTGCACTGAGTAATTTTGAGCCAACTATCCTACAAAAAAAGCAACCAACTGGAGCAGAGTGACACCTCCTCTTCCAGGCTGGGTGGACGGGCAGGGGAGTTTCTTTCCACTAGCTCTTGGTACCTTATCACTAATCTTCTGCATCCTTGTCTAGCTTGGATTAATACTTAGTCTATAGGCACAGACCTGATCATCTACATTTGCCCTCTTACAGCACTAAATTATGTTTTCTACCTTTATCTTGCATCTACCTACCACTTCAGCATTTTATTTAAAAATAATAATAATAATAATAAGGGAGAAATGTGGGATTCACATATAAATCAAGTATAAAAATCAAACGAATAATCATATCTGACTTGTTTATAGTTCATGATGCGTGATCAAAACTGAAAGTTTCTGTGATATGACTGCCCTTGCACTGTTCACCATGTAAGAACTTATTCACTATGTAAGAACTTGTTCAGCATGTAAGAACTTGTTCGTTATGCTTCAGAAGATTGGAGACTGTTGAGAATTAGGCTTGGGGTTGATTAATGACTGTGCATTGAGTCCCCTATACGGAATTTTATTGTTGTAAACAACCATTTGATCAATAAATATGAGAGATGCCCTCTCAAAAAAAAAACTCTGAGAAAGAGAACATGACAAAACTGAATTCATGAATTAGGTTTAAGCAAAAATTACAAAAGCAGATTATTTTTCTCTCAGTCAGAGGATGGCAAACTTTTTCTGTAAAGAGTCAGGTAACAAATATTTTAGGCTTGTGGGACATGTAGTCTATGTTGTAGCCACTCAACTCTGCATGTGAATTTAGAAAGGTAATGGAGAGTTTTCAGCTAATCTGGGATATCTTTTAAAACAATAAAGAGAAGAAAAATAGTCATACTCTCAAAAGTTCAAATAAAAAATTTTTTATTGAAGTTATTTCTAACATACTTAGCAGTAGTATTAACACATACCATTATTATTACTAATAATAACAGCTAACCATTTGTATGACTCACACTGTAAGATTAAATTGCCAAAAAAGTAGCAATTTTAGCAAATAAAGTGTATCTGCCACATTTTAATATAATTACTTAAATAGCATCTACTCCAATTTAGGAAATGTACATTATGAATTGGTTTTAATTTTTAAGAGGAAGAACTAAGCTGGAAGATGGAGAGAGGGAGTAATATTATATGGAAAACAGAAGACATGGTAAAAAGTATCTCTTTGTAAGAGATCATTTTAAGAGCTTTTTTCTGGCAAAATAATATCCTATTGTTATCAATGGTGGGAAGCATTAGCCAAAAACAAAACAAGAAGAATCAAAGAATGAGGGAGGCCAGTCCTAAAATAAGAATAACAAGACTATATTATTGGATGACTTATTTGGGCTTGAAAAGTGGCCATCATTATTATACTGTGAAATGAAAAACAACCCTGTACCCACTGTGTCTACCCACTGACAGCAACATGATGAAGTTTCCATAGAAACATTCTGCTCATCTAATATCCCACCTTTTTCAAAGAGCAATTAGTAGTCAATAATAACCATTTTAACAGAAAATTTACTGGTAAAAAGGGGAGTTACAGCAGAACCCTGTTCTCAACATAGTTTCTAAGGAAGATGAGACAAATATAAATGAAATAAAGAGATATGTACTATTTCTTCCTTTTTCAGAAAATATTTATCACTAGAATAAGTGGAACAAAGAACTAGAGAATTATGCAGGTGAATTGTTCCTGAAAGTATTCCTACACACAGTACAATCAAGTATTCCTATTTTTGTGTCGCTTTACCTAGTAAAAATAACAGTTACCCCCAAGGAAGACAGTAGGGATTGACACACAAATACTGAAAATAGAATTTCCATATTAGTGAAGCCGTATTTTAGGGCAAATTACTCTAGAACTTCTCTCCCCTCCTTCCCACAAAGCCTTTAGAGAAACGGTTCTAGTGACTTTACTGATTGTGGAAGTATTTTTTAAGTTTTATTAAGTTAGAATTTACTAAACAATTCACTTGGTTTAAATGTACACTTCAATGATTTTTAGCATATTTACAGAGTTGTGTAACTATCACCACAGGTAGAGTTTTAAGTGTTTGGCAAATCATTGGAAAACTGTGTCTTAGGATTTCAACCCTGATAGTAATTAACTGAATTTTTTTTTGTACAACCCCCTCCTCCCCACCCACCACTACAAATAATTATTTCCAGGGTAAAGTATAGTGCTGACACTAGTACACACTTACTAGATTGAATTGAAAGCACTTAAAAAGTTTTTTTTTTGAGGAAGTAACCTTTCATAAATAGCAACAGTGTAGAGAATAAGGCAGCTTCTAAGAATTAAACTGGTAAAATCCATATGTATAAATTAGTTGGCTGGGGGAGCAATCCTTAAAACTGCCTGTGAATGTGTAACTAAAGTTTAGAAACACTTTCAGCCCCTAGTTAAAATGAAGATGTAATCTCAGAAGGCAGAGCTGGAAGTGGTTGTAATTCGGTCAGCAAAAATCTAATCAACTGACTAGTATGGGGTTTTGATACATTTTACACGAAGATTAGCCCGCAGCAAGAGAATTGCCAGTCTTTACCCAGCACTGTCCTGGGAACAGACACACAAAATCCAGGGGGTATGAATTTCTTCTTTTAAGAGGTATAGCTCCATTAAGGGGCAGGGATCAGATCTCACCATGATCTAAATCTCACATCAGATCTAATTAAATATTCCTCAAAACGATTCACTTGATTTTGTTTTGATTCCTCATTCACTAATCAATTGCCAGATTTGCTTTCCAGACCTGCTAAAAGTTATCTTGGTGTGTACATTTTGAGATAAAAGCTTAGTTTAAAAAAATATAATTGAAGGTTCGTCTAAAGGTTAGCCAATCTGTCCTTCCCTCCGAAATTTTCAAAGGTTCTTTTCTCTTTTGGGATATACAAACACCGTTAAAGAATATGAACAAAATTTCAAATCCTCTTCTCTTTGCAGAAAAAAAGCACATGCACACATACACAAAATTTCGGAAACCATCACGGAGTTAAAGGAATACCAAAGATCCTCTATGAAACTGTGGAGGATCAAATTTAATTTGTATTTTGGAATCAATCACTGAAAGACATTTGTAAAATATACTCAGTCAACTTCCAGAACTAACTATGCCATTCTCCTAAACAATCTATTTTTTAAATCTCAAAGGCACTTCATATTTTGAACATACTTGTGTTCCCTTATTAACTGTGACTTCTGGGAAAAGCTGACTGAAATACGCAGTTCATCTGTAGGAACTCACTGAACCTCTCCTCCAGGCTAGGCCTAGCGATAAGCAACCAGAGAAGCAGAGGTTTGGGTCCTAGCTGGCAATTATCACCAGTGACTGATCAGGCCACGAACCACCTTGACTTGAGCTATACAAAGTTAAATTCTGAACCGAAGATGGAACGGTATTTAGTGTAGAACATTTACTAAATAATCTAAGCTGGGTTCGCGAGCAATTGTCTTGTAGCCCTTGGCCTGTTCACAGAACTCGGGGAGGACAAAGCCCTAGCTCTCGCCGGAATCACAGAAACCTCGGCTGCAGGACTACGCGCACTCTCCACACGCCCGGTTTCCGGAGCAACCATCTGGCTCCCTCCCCTTTTGACTCCGCCCCCAAGCCTTTCCCGCCAAAGTCCGTTAATGCCTCAGAGCATGATGGGAAAATGCACTAGGTTTTACCGAACCCTTTCAAGGCGCGTTGTTTTAAAAGAGGCTCATTACTGGGGAAACTGACTATCCTTTAAAACTCGACAAGGATTAATGACCTCTTAACGAGGGCTACGTATTTAATCTTTCCCAAACAGCCAGTCACTCCATTAGCAAACTACTCCGCAAATCGGAAACGCAAGGAACTTTTTTCTCCCTTCGCGCGGAGGGTGACGTTGCGCGTGCGTGAGCGGCTGCGTCGCAGAGACGTTTACGTTCTTGCGCGTGCGTAGTGAGATCGAATAGCTGCTTTCCCCTGCTTCTCTTCCTCCCTCCCCCCATATCCGTGCGCCGAGCTGATAAAGGCGCCATTTTGGAGGGGCCGCGGGAGACGTGGTGTCGCTGCGGGCTCGCTCTGCCGTGCGCTAGGCTTGGTGGGAAGGCTTGTTCTCGAGTTCGCGCTTTTCGTCGCCGCCATGTCGGGAGGTGGTGTGATTCGTGGCCCGGCAGGGAACAATGATTGCCGCATCTATGTGGGTAACTTACCTCCAGACATCCGAACCAAGGACATTGAGGACGTGTTCTACAAATACGGCGCTATCCGCGACATCGATCTCAAGAATCGCCGCGGAGGACCGCCCTTCGCCTTCGTTGAGTTCGAGGACCCGCGGTGAGGCAGCTTGGGGCTTGCGGCCTTGAGGAAATAGGTCGGAGTAGTTGGGAAAGGCCTTTAACATAGAGAACAGGGACGTGGGGGTCTTAGGTTGGGGGCAAGACGGTATCTCCCAGGCAGGAGTTGAGTAAGGAGCCGAGTCGGTGTGGCGTCTGTGGGGCCTGAACCTCACGGACGTCCCCAGAGCCGACTCGCAAGCTCGAAGCGGGAAACTGAGGCGCTGAGGGCTGGTGTGTTCGGGAACCTGGAGTGCCGGGTGGGGGAAGGGCAGTTCCCATTATGCAGCGCATGTGGGCTCCTCCACGCTGAATGCGCATGTGCGGGGAGGAGGGGGCAGCTGGGTCCCAACTGAGTGGGCTGCCCCTCCCCGTCCTCTTTCTTAACGCCCGTTTGCTTTTCTGTGATCACGCAGAGATGCGGAAGACGCCGTGTATGGTCGCGACGGCTATGATTACGATGGATACCGTCTGCGGGTGGAGTTTCCTCGAAGCGGCCGTGGTACAGGCCGAGGCGGCGGCGGGGGTGGAGGCGGCGGGGCTCCCCGAGGCCGCTATGGCCCCCCGTCCAGGCGTTCTGAAAACAGAGTGGTTGTCTCTGGTAAGTTTATTGTGTGGATTGATGAGAAGGGTCGGAAACCACTGTAAAGTTTTCTTTGCGTGACCAATTTGACAAATGTAATTTTTTGTGCTTCGTCTTTAATTTCTCGTGTGAGTTGAGTAGATAAGTATTACTGTAATGGAGACAGACCAAATTATTTACCCAGAGTATGAATATTTTTTACCTAGTTAATTTTGGTTCTGGAATCTGGAAGATTTAAGGGTTTCCTAAATTAACAGCTCTTTACCTAGGACCTTAAATATAATCACCAATTTGAAAGTAATCTTTGTTCTAATGTAACATTAAAATTTTAAACTATTTAAATTACTGAAAATTAAGAAAATTTTAAGTTTAGTGTGAAATTTGGGCTAATTAGTATTGGAAAAAAACTTTTTCAGGACTGCCTCCAAGTGGAAGCTGGCAGGATTTGAAGGATCACATGCGTGAAGCAGGTGATGTATGTTATGCTGATGTTTACCGAGATGGCACTGGTGTCGTGGAGTTTGTACGGAAAGAAGATATGACCTATGCAGTTCGAAAACTGGATAACACTAAGTTTAGATCTCATGAGGTAGGTTATACATTGATTCTTTTCTTTGGCCAGAATTGGATACAGTGGTCTTAACAGTGGAATTTGAAGGTAAGATTCAGGAAAGGGTATCCAAGTAAAGTGCCAGATTTCTGGTTTTAGTTACATTGTATTCGTTCAGCATGCCTGAAGACAGGTGAAAGCTTCGATTTTTCAATCGAAAGTTCTGTCTATTCAATAGGGAGAAACTGCCTACATCCGGGTTAAAGTTGATGGGCCCAGAAGTCCAAGTTATGGAAGATCTCGATCTCGAAGCCGTAGTCGTAGCAGAAGCCGTAGCAGAAGCAACAGCAGGAGTCGCAGTTACTCCCCAAGGAGAAGCAGAGGATCACCACGCTATTCTCCCCGTCATAGCAGATCTCGCTCTCGTACATAAGATGATTGGTGACACTTTTTGTAGAACCCATGTTGTATACAGTTTTCCTTTACTCAGTACAATCTTTTCATTTTTTAATTCAAACTGTTTTGTTCAGAATGGGCTAAAGTGTTGAATTGCATTCTTGTGTAATATCCCCTTGCTCCTAACATCTACATTCCCCTCATGTCTGATAAATTGTATTTTAAGTGATGTCATAGACAGGATTGTTTAAATTTAGTTAACTCCATGCTCTTCAGACTGTGATATTGTGTAAATGTCTATTCTGCTCTAGTTTGTGTGAACTGGGATGTTGGGGTGTTTGTGGTTATCTTACCTGGGGAAGTTCTTATGTTTATCTTGCTTTTCATGTGTCTTTCTGTAGACATATCTGAAGAGATGGATTAAGAATGCTTTGGATTAAGGATTGTGGAGCACATTTCAATCATTTTAGGATTGTCAAAAGGAGGATTGAGGAGGATCAGATCAATAATGGAGGCAATGGTATGACTCCAAGTGCTATTGTCACAGATGAAATTGGCAGTATTGACCTTATACTAAAAGACAAGGATTAAAAATGATTATATACATCTACCTTAAAACACTTGCAAACCTCTGATGCAATTATCTTTAGCTACAATTGCTTTGCTCTTTAAACCTTGGCAATTGTGGCAAAATTACATTGCCCATTTTGTAACGTTTATTTTGCTCCCTTCCCCCCTTTTTTGTTTTAATAGGGACTAATGTGGGAAGAACTGGCTAATTTGTCACAGTGCTTAGTTACAACTGTTAATGTGTGACCTGCTGTTGGTGTACATGTGGGTACAGGGTGTCTTTAATTCCAACCAGATAGAGTATAATATCAATACTGCTAAATCTGCATGTCCTCTGTGTGACTGATATAGCGTTGCTATTTCATTTTTTTAAGACAAAATGAAAGCAAAATATAGAATTCCAACGTACTGGTGTAGATAATTTAGTTGGGAATACCTTTTAAGTCTCACCTTCTCCTTTAATATAATTTACTCATGTTTAAAACACTTTAATTTACAAATTAAATTGCAGATGGGAGCATTAGATTTAGTTTAGACTTAGGTGGGTAGCAATATCAGTAAACTTTTCAACTACATAACTTTTTGCAACCACAAAACCTGTAATACGCTGTACAGTAACAAGTGTTGGCATTATCAGTTGAACTGTAAATATAAATGCTTCTTCCAATTAGTCTCTATGATGATTAAGTTTCTAAAATTTATCTGAACACCATTCAGAAACTTGTTTTGGGGAATTTGATAGTTATTGATGTACATCTGTTAAACTGATGACAGACATAACTCATCATTCCCCAGAAACCTTTTTTGATTACAGTATCTAACATTTTGCCTCCTCTTTTTTGGTTTTGCTGGTTATAAAGGTTTGGATTGGAGAGGGCTCACTGGATCCCAATCCTTGGAGCTGGATCATTGGATTCAAATCATAATGTGGATAGGATAGGGAGGATGAATTACAAGGATTCATGGAGCGGGATCAGATTACCAGGAACATAGGAGTGGATTCCTGCCCCAACCAAACCGCATTCGTGTGGATTTTTTTTTTTTTATTCAACTTAATTGGCTATTCCAAAGATTTTTTTTTTTCCTATTTTTGACGATTGGAGCCCTTAAGATGCACGATGGAATTGTGTTTTGCATTTTTTGGTAAAAGGAGCAAAGCGAGGACCTGGAGATATACGCTGGAGCAATCTCCTTGGAAGGATTCAGCACGAGTAGATGGTAAACATTTAAAGGGGAAAGGGGGGTTTGTTTAAAATAGTAAATCAGTAAGTTACTTCTAAATTTAAAGAAAACAAAATTGGAGTTGAAGAATAAGTAGGTTTCCAATTGGCTATTGCCGTTTTTCTTTGAAAAAAATAAACATTTTTTAAAAAACTATGCATGGTTGTCCTTTTTCCTCTTCATATAAGATTTGAACTGGGTGACTAGTGCTAACAGTTAATATTTAAAATTGATAGGATTCTGACTCATGTTCATGTATTAGTAAATTAAATGCTCTTAAAGGTAATTTCTAATAAATGGTAGTCATTTCTTACTGTTAATTGTGAAAGCATGCAGGGGAAGATAAAAGATGGACTAAGGCAATGATGTATGTAATATGGTAAATGAGGGGGTGGTCTAGTCTAAAAGGTAAGCTTCTACTTTGATACAAATGATTAAAAGTTTGTAGATGATCATGCTTGGCGATAATCTAGACAACATAGGCTTTTGTGCAAAATCAGGTGGTGATAGTAAATTATAACTTGGGAGATAGTCTTTGAGATTTATCAGTGAAACTCATCTCAGAAATTGGAATGAAAGTATTAAGTGTTAAATTCAGCAAAGATTAGAACTCACGTTACTTTTTTGAAATGTGAGTAGTACACTAGAAGATTGACTGCTTTGAATCGATGATGAAGTGTCGGGCATTCTTTGAATTTTTGTCTTGTTAAGCCAGTCTCAACCAACTGGTTGTTACATATACTAAACATACCAAAGCAGTGATTATATCCTGTAGTCTAGTGTGTGTGTTTTTAAAATCTTTATTGGTGCTTAATTTTCAACTTGCTTGAGCTGAGTCAGGGGGGGGGTTTTACTTAAAATCCCTAATCTTGATTTCTTCATAGATAACCCAAGCAGCAAACACTTTTTCTGCACCCAAAAGAAATGTCTTCAACATTTACCTTGGGTGCTAATCATAGTTAGAAACTGAATTTATGATGGCTATTCAGGTGACATAATTTCCAACCTAAGAAAAACTAGAATTTGGTAGTAGAAGAAATTGGCCCACGAGATTTTGGGTAAGGTCACCCAACCAACATACTTAAATGAGCCTTGTGGAATATCAGGAGGAAGAGAAAGGATATTAGGTTCAAAACTAGGATTCCACTTTATTTAAAGCACTTGGTATGATTCATTAACTATGCAAATTCAAAATACAATGTTCAAGATGTACTATTTAAAGCAATTTTGTTCTTGATGTATAAAATATGCCACTACCTCTAAGTGACTAATTTTGGAAAGGTTAGTGTGAGGTAGACTTGACAAGCCTAAGCTCATTTGTATATATATTGAATGTATTACCAATAGCCAAAATGAAAATTGCTTTCACTTGAGGTTGAGTTGCATTTAAGTCATGTTGAAAGATGTGCTCTACTGAAAGGCAGTTCCAACTCCAGATGGTAGTGCAATAGCAACACTTGTCTGGTACGTAGGCTGTTGGAAAATTAGGGCTACAATGCATACTTAAAACCAAAGTTAGAAGGGCACATGTTTTGCATTTAAGACCAAAGCTGTGAAGGGAGATAGAGATGGTTTTTCGGTTTTAAGAAATGAACCTTAAACCTCTACCTGTACTGGCTGCTTAAATGGAAGTACCTTTGGAACTAAAAAAATTGGCTTGAATTTTTTCCCTTTTCTCCCTATTCATGTCCCCTTAGAGTATTGCAGGGAGCCTATAATTAGTTTATTTTCTAACCAAGGAAAAATTTAAGTCTCTAAGAAGCAAGTATCTCATAACATCAGTTTGAATAACCTGCCTTGCTGTTCAGCCCACATCCTTCTGGAAACAAAAGGTAAGAAATCCATTTTCTGGTTCCTAGTTGTATGGGACCTGAATTATATTTTAAAAACAATTTTTAAAATGAATATGAACAGGTTTCCCTTAAAATTTTCTTTCCTAGTTTTATTTACAGTGCTCATATACACCCATTGTAGTGCCTAAGTTCAGTATTGAATTCCAAGTTTCTCTGTTTTGTCTTTAAAACATTTTTCATTAGGGCTGGTTTTTTTTTTTTTTTCATTTCTGTGAAGATAAATTTCTCATGCCTTTTTCCTTTGTATAAAGTTGTAATGACATTGCAAATGAAAATAAGTTGTATGTGTTTACCATAATGGTATTAAAAGGAAAGAAACTATTAGACTGAAGTTCTATTGTAATAGCTATCCTGTGGTTTAACATCATGGTATGAAGGGTGCAAAGGTGGAAAAAGGTTTACAATCTCTTATCCAAAAAACCGAAGACAATTTTTTTTTGTTGAGCAAACATGTAAAACCTGACCAGAATTGATACCTTCATTTTGTATTCAGTGTGAGCAAACTGTTTTGCTGCAGAAACATTGGTGTTTTTTATTACAAGTGCCACAGGCTTTGCTGAAGGTATATGACACTGGGTCTGTATACCAAACTTTTATAAAGTGCAAATAGTTCTGAATTACAAATACATCTCTACCCAAGAGTTTGGATAAGGGATTGTAGAACTATAATACAGGGCTAACTGCTGTGTAATTTTGGGTGTGAGTGAAAACAAATTTCTGCTGTGGATCCTTTATTAACTGAGAGAAAAAGTTTCCCATCTTTTAGGCTGAAGCAGCCACAAGAAAAGAAGGTAATGACCCACATTTCATATTGTTGCTATAGTGGACTCAACAATTGTACTCCACTGAAGGAAATAATCTGCCATCCTAGTGTATACAGAATGTTTTGGGGTGATATTTTTCAGTACTTTGTTTACAGGAACATTGGCCAATTGGATCTATAGGAAAAACTGGGATTGGCATGAAGTAAAGTGATTATAAGGAAACGTCTGTTCATTGTGTCTATTGTGATTGTCTCAAATAAATGGTAATCCTGGTAAAAGCTTTTTTGCTTTAAATATAGGCCCAAGAATTAGCATGTGTAATGGGGGGGGGGTGTTTGGGGAGGGCTGTGCAACACAGTGAAGACAAGTAGTGATTCTACAGCATCTTAATATGCTGATGGACAGTGACTGTAATGGGGTTGGTGGAATTGGTGAAGGGGGGGAGCCTTGTAAAACAATGTTCATGTAATTGTAGATTAATGATAACTATATATATATATATATGCCCAAGAAATTACAGTATACTTTAACCAGCAGTTATTCTTGTGATTGAGAGTTTTGGAGGTGCTTCTTGCTAAGTCTGATATTTTCTATTACATTAGTGCTTGTGTAGTACACAGAAAATAAGTTGATAAGTTAGTCTTTGTCACTGAAATTAATTAATGCAGAAATAACCTCAAACCTGTATAGGTGTTTAGCTGGGTTATCAGGGAGAGAAGTGCATTAGTTTGCATAAAGAGGTTGCTGTTTAGGTATGCAAAGCATGAAACGGTACCTAAGAGTTAAGGGAGATCCAGGGTGTTTTTTTTAATCTATTAAAAAGTACAAAGGAGTTAGCACTAAACTATCAGCTTAAGAAACGTGTAAACTATTGAACTTGTCAGTGTGGACACAGTGAAATCGAGAGCCTCTTTAGGATGCTATACTCATCCTCACCAAACGTCCTTTGAACAAAACAATTTTGTAGGGATGCCAAATGTCTAAAAAGTTGTGTTCTACTACTCTGGAAAATCACATAGCCACTAGAGGGAGCTGTAATACAAAATCAAACAATTATCCCTACCTTGAGGAATCCGCAGAGCAAGGTGGAAACCAATCATCTTAATCTGTGTCCTCTCAAAGTAGGTGGTTTTGTTGGTAAGTTTTCTTAATATGGCTTTACCCCTGCCTTCCCATCACCTGTTAAGCAAAATCCTTTCCCAGTTCAGCTTCTGATCTGTTATGGTTTTGAATTGAGCTTATTACTTCATTAGTACTGAACTGAACAATGTAAGTTGGAAAAAAAATACATCCAAGTTCTGGGACTTGCGAGAAAATGCCAAAGAATGAATCTGCATCTTCAGCCTACCTTGTACATCTCTAGGTATGGAATAGTAAGGCCAGAGTTAAGAACTGGGTATGGGGTAAGTGAAGAAAAAAAATAGGCATAAACTGGTCATGCTAGAAAAAATGGATATGCTTTCAGAGCTTGTTTTTATGATGTGAGTCATTCTGGAGCAATATATTTCTCAGCATTGCAAAGAGACTTAATTGCCATTAGTGTGACTTAAAACTTTGCCTCTTTGTCAGGTTAGCTGTTTATATTTTCCTGTTTTCTAGGCCTTGCTCAGGTAGGCACAGAGTAGCTTGTAAACAAGTCAGTACGCACAGTTCTCTTGCCATGTTTACTTAATGCTATTTTTATTTAAGAAAGCTGAAAATCAGGAATTATTAATGAGCATTTGTCATTACCATCACTCTTCCCCCCAACTTTACATTGCCTCCTGTTTAAATTTTAAAGTTTTTTTTAGGCTCACTTGATGAACCTGTGTAGTTGAGAAAATGGGTATGGAAGGACTTGCCTTACAACATAAATGTTAGAAATGTCTGCTTTGAAGAATTAAAGACCCCAAAAGAGGACAAAAATACAGGTATATTTTCCAGAAGAGAGAGAATTTTACACACTAGAAATTACCCTGCTTGGAACTAACATTTTATGTAACAAGTGAGGCTGCAGAAGGTGGTTGCTGACTAGCAGTCTTGATATAAATTGAAGTACTGAAAGTGCACTAGATTAATTGTGCCTGTCCGTAATCCTAAAAATATTAGCTCTTATGTCTCCTTGTGAAGAGGCACTTTAAATCCAAAATTGTACAAATGAAAATCCAGAATTTCCATTGTAAAAGAAAAAGGCTGAATTGAACTCTGATGTGTAAGCCTTTATAAGTTTAGACTGACTTTTTTAGGTTGTGGTAATTAAGCTTCAATACTTAGGAATGGGTGGCTGCATCAATCAAAGGAAAAGCCTGTGTCCATTACATAGGACCTAAAAGTCCTGGGCCAAATCTCTTCTACCCTTAGAGTGGTTTGCCTAGAAATTTGAGCTGTAGTGTTTATATGGTCAATGAATGTTAAACTGATAGAAATTCATTAGTATCCTCACCCCAAGTCCAACTCTCCACCAGCCACTGTTGCTAGAGTGTAAAATGAAAACTTAAAGTACTTGTAACATTGCCTGCAGTATATATATATACCCCTTAGGCAGATGATGCCCTTGATA